TATTTATCAGTCTGGCGAGTAAACAAAAAAATGTACTAGCCAATGGCGATTCAATTGCCAAGGTGTTCGTAGTGTTAAAATATGACCCTGAATAAACAATAGGACATTTGTAATTGTGGATAAAGTAAAATGTGAAGGCAATGTATAAATTGTTATATCAAGGGCAGCTTGAGTGTGTGTGTGTGTGTGTGTGATAGTTTGATATGGGCAAAGGTCCATGTGGCCTAGTAGGTCGATTTCCCAGAGAGACTACATGCAGGCCATCTGGTTTCACTGCACATTCACTAAACAGAATAAACCCCGTGTGTTTGAGTTATCGCTTCAGTATTTTTCATTAAAAAAAAAACTACAAAAGCTCTTTAATGTATCAAATAATGTCCCTGTTAAGTCTGCTACTGTGAATGTGATTCCTAAATGTAGCAGGTTTTTTGTTAGAAGAGAACACACAATTTAATATCAGGCCTATGCAGTTACATTTCATGATTAATGACGTACAGTATAATTTATATTATATAAATATTGATGCTAGATAACAAGTTATCATTTGCATTGTACTGTTAGTTACTGAAGATGATGCGCTATAATTGGTTGTCAGATAAAATGTGGGCCAAAACAAGAAGTCTATGGCATCAAGGATGCATTTATTTGATAGAAAAAAACTGTAATATTGTGAACTATTATTACAATTTAAAATAAAAGTTTTCCTATTTTAAAGGGATAGTTCACCCAAAAATGAAAATTAACATATGATTTACTCACCCTAAAGCCCTCCTAGGTGTATATGACTTTATCTTTCAGACGAATACAATTGGAGTTATATAAAAAAATGTGACCCTGGACCACAAAAGCAGTCATAAGTAGCACAGGTATATGTGTAGCAATAGCCAACAATACATTGTATGGGTCAAAATGATTGATTTTTCTTTTATGCCAAAAATCGTTAGGATATTAAAGGTGCACTAAGCAATTTTTGAAAAACGCTTTTGACCGCAGTGTCGGACCATGTCCCAAAATACACTTGCAGCCAATCAGCAGTAAGGGGGCGTGTCTTGTATAGAGAAGAGAGCGCAATTTGAGTGTACAGGACAGATATTAGCAGATCGACTAATGATAGAGAGAACTGGAAGATAAAAAAAGAGGAAAATATCAGAGGAACAAAACATTTAAAAAAGGGTTACGATCAGACAAGAGGTAGGACCCACGTAAATATCGGAGCAGCTTTCCAGCGGTGGAGAGAACTCAAGGAGCGGGAAGGCCTGGAATCGGAGGCCAAGGTTGCGTTGTTTCTTTGTGATTGGTGAGTAACATTGATTTTGCATTGTTTCACACAACTTATCCATGCTGGCTTTTGTTTGAATATGCTTGTGTGTCATCTTCGCTTGTTTCCGTGATCATCGTTGCCAGGGTTGTGTACGTACATGTGGGGCGGAGATATCAAAACGGGCGAGGTCCTAGTGGGGTATGGGCGTGTTTGTTTTGGTGCTTTCAAATATCAACATTGTTTGGCAAAAATCGCTTGGTGCACCTTTAAGTAAAGATCATGTTCCATGAAGATATTTTGTAAATTTCCTACCATAAATATATCAAAACTTAATTTCTGATTAGTAATATGCATTGCTAATAACTTAATTTGGACAACTATAAAGGCCATTTTCTCAAAAATTTGATTTTTTTTTTTTGCACCCTCAGATTCCAGATTTTCAAATAGTAGTATCTCGGCCAAATATTGTCCTATCCTAACAAACCATACATCAATGGAAAGCTTATTTATTCAGCTTTCAGACTATGTATCTCAATTTCAAAAAATGTACCATCATGACCGGTTTTGTGGTCCAGCGTCAAAATGTCCTGACTCTTCCAATCTTTATAATGGCAGTGAATGGGGGTCAAGATTTTGAAGCCCATAAAAGTGCTTCTTTTGGGGTTGATAAAGGCCTTCTGAAGTGAAGCGATGCATTTGTGTAAGAAAAATACCCATATTTCCATATCCAAAATATCTATATCCATACAAAACTTGATAAACTGTAATGTAGCTTCCGCTAACTGTCGTACGCTCATTCACAAGAGATTGGCGTTCCAGAGGATGACGCTTCAAAATCTCGACCCGTGTTCACTGCCATTATAAAGCATGGAAGAGCTAGGACATTTTTTAATATAACTCGACTATGTATCTCAATTTCAAAAAATGTACCATCATGACCGGTTTTGTGGTCCAGCGTCAAAATGTCCTGACTCTTCCAATCTTTATAATGGCAGTGAATGGGGGTCAAGATTTTGAAGCCCATAAAAGTGCATACATCCATTATAAAAGTACTTTTGGGGTTGATAAAGGCCTTCTGAAGTGAAGCGATGCGTTTGTGTAAGAAAAATACCCATATTTCCATATCCAAAATATCTATATCCATACAAAACTTGATAAACTGTAATGTAGCTTCCGCTAACTGTCGTACGCTCATTCACAAGAGATTGGCGTTCCAGAGGATGACGCTTCAAAATCTCGACCCGTGTTCACTGCCATTATAAAGCATGGAAGAGCTAGGACATTTTTTAATATAACTCAGATTGTATATGTCTGAAAGAAGAAAGTCATATACACCTGGGACCTTCAATTTTTATCCCTTTAATATATTTTAAAAATGTAACTTATTCCAGTGATGGCAAAGCTTAATGTTTACAATAAAATTATAATTACACGACTACTTTTTAGCCTTAGGAAAAATCCTCTAATTTGATTCTTAACTTTTTTAAAGGTGATAAAAGCACCCATAGCCATACTGTAGTAGTGAATATCAGCACAGTTGTGATTACCTATGGCCTTGTGCTGTTATTCAATACAGTAGCACTCTTCATGCAAATATTGCTTAATTATAATAACTTTATAATATTATTTTGTAATAACTATTATTACTATGGCTGCTTGACCAATTCAAGCGTCTCTGGGTCAAAGTTCACGCAAAGCCCTCTTTATCTGTGTTCCAGCCTGGCAACAGGTGGGTTAAAGTTGTGCATTTAGCAGCAATCTCCAGAACTGCATAGCAATAAACAGAGGAATCTGGACTTTGTCAGTGGACTATAGTCTGTGATTCTGGAAATATGACACAGGGTATGTCCACACACACACTGAGACATGGGGTCACAGTGCTGCCCGGAATCAAATACAGTGGGTCAACAGCTAAAATAACAAATAGTAATCTGCATAGTCTGCACAGTCAATAAATCTGATAAAGCAGCTGCTTACAGTGCGTCATAATACATGTCGTAACGTGAATCAATAAACCAATGTGTTACAAGAAACAGTGACCAGAAATGCACAAATATGAAGCCACGAAACGTTACTTGAGTGTATTTACAGCCTTTGTTCAGCACCACCGGAAGCAACGAGGTTCGAAATGTGATTGTTTATTTTTAAAACTGACGTGTCAGGGCATTTAAATAGAACGAAACACGTCACGCCGTCACTCAAAGTTCCACTCGCGTCTGAACTCACCTCCTCCGTAGCGGTGGGACTGTAATACACGAGAATGACCGTCGTTAATATGTTAATAAGGAGTCCAGTGATGGTCAGCGTGTTCGGCGCGACCCACGTCGGGATCTGCTGGACCAGCCAGTTCCAGTATATCTGGCAGGGCGGCTCGAAGAGAGAGCGACCGGCCGCGCTGTATTTGTGTTCCTCCAGGCGCTTGAGCTGGACAGCTGACAGCGGCTCCGGACAAGCGCACTGAGGCATTATGATCGCTCTTTCGGCAGGGGCAATGCAATGTTTTGGTCCAAATTCCCAGGTGTCCACTTAGAAGAAGGCATTAGCATGCAGCGGTTACGTGTGGAGAGTCATTTTTAATGAGCGGAACCGACGGTCTCCTCCGTTCCTAATAGTTGAGAGCAGATAAACGGAGAGGCGCAGGAAACTGCGGTCCGGAAGAGGACGCAACCGGGAAATTTGAACGAGTGCTGTACCGCGTCTGACCACCAGGCTTCCTGGGGCTGGTTGCATGAACTGCCTTAGACTAGTCTTAAAAAGTATTCACCTATTTTTTTTTTCTTCAAGACCGGTCATAACTTTTTTAATTCAGTTACAAAAAGATAGATTGGTCTAATCTGAATATGAATGGTAAGACTGATTACCCCTTGTCAATTGCTAGTTGGTGAAATTTGTTCTTAAGACAGTCTTAACATAGTGACTATGTTCATGCAACTGGCCCCAGATGTTGACGTTCTGATTTACATGACTGGAAGTCTAGATATTGTTAACTAAAACTAAAGCTATTAAAAATCGTTTTTGGTAGTTGAAATAAAGCTAAAATAAAATATTAAATAAATATTAGATGAAAAGCTTAAAGATGTAAACGAAAATGAGAAATTTTGCTTTTAGCAACTTACTGAAATATGTTGAATTAGTAAAATGACTGGAACTAATTTGAAAATGTTTCTATTTACCTTAAAATTAAAAACCCTAATACTAATGACAAAAAAACACATAAAATTACTATAACTTAAACTAAAATTGAAAATATACAAATAAAAGCAAATTAGAAATATTAATATATACTTACTAGAACATAAACAACACTGATTCCTGGGGCTAACCAGTAAGCTGCTTGAGTGCTTTTCATTAATTTCAGATCATTATCGGATAGAACATTGACAAACCATACTGTCCTTATTTATCATTGTAGTTTACGTGTTTATTATGTTGAATATCATAACTGTTTTACGAGGTTTTTTGGTGTGTCTCTATTCCATGCCCTTTTGTAGTATAAATAGTGTGTTCACACTGAAAATTACCAACAAAAAGTGCAAATATCCAGAGGATGCAAATAATTAACCTAAAAATAAAACAAATATGTTATATATATATATATATTATGACAAAATAACCCTTTAATGTATAATGTGAAATTTAAAATGCTGCACAATTTGTGCACAAATGTTTATAGATAACTCAAATTCCAGTGCAAGGCCGCAAAAAAAAAAAAAAAAATGGTTTTAGTTTTTATTAAAATATATTTAGAAATTATTTCAACATAAATATAGATGGAGATGCAGTATGCAAACATCTTTTGTGCCCAAAGAACAGTGTTGCCCAATCTTGCCGTCTGCATCAAAATAATATAGGCCTTTAAAACAAAAAAGAAACCATTGCTTTTCATACAGAGACATTTATTCAACTGTCATGCTAAAATGAACATTGTCATGTACCATCAAGTATCCTTAGACAAACGCAGCATTTTCTGTAACATTCAGATCTCGTCTCATGTCTGATCTGGTAGTTGCACAGTATTGATATTGCATATCTAAGTGGATTTTAGTACATTCAGTAAAGAATGAAGGAAAGGGGTTGGGAAAACTCAGGGGGAAATCAAACAAGAAAAGAAAATAAAGACAGAAACAGCAAAGCCCAGACTTGTGCTCATTTCGGACCACTCTTGTAAATGAACCACATTACCTTATCTGTAACTGACTGCTCTAGATTTTCCACAATAAAATGTCTATTTGTGATATATTTTGAAGCAACCATCCAGTTTACTGAAGTCATGCATTTGAGTTCCAGTGGCATTTCTTAAAACAGCTTTACATGATCGCAGAGTGTCAGACGCAGTGTTTTCTAGAACTATAGATCCATGTCTGAACACAGCATACCATGCCAAAGTTTAGACACGTGCCATTATTTGTAGTAGTGACAGGGATTTCTGGGTAATCATTGGGTGAGTCAGCCCTCAGATGGATCCCTTCTTCTCTGACTCTGACTTCTCAGAGGTCTTAGACTCGTTCATGTACTTATCAATGAGGTGTAAGGGAACGCCTCGCTTCATCAGCTCAAAGAACGTAAAACCTCCTGAAAAAGGGGAAAGATAGACTGTCAGAGTGGTGACATTGAAAACAATGAAATTTTGACATATGTATTTGTTCTTCATAACATATAGCAGCCTTGAAAGTATTTGGACATGTAAGCCACATTTACAAATGTCTAAATGCCTTTGCACTATATAGCAAAATATCACCTAGTGATACTCATAAAAAAGAGAACACACAGAGAACTGCTTGAAAACACACTTTTCAAGCAGATCATTTCACAAAAATAGATAAATTAATAGATAAACTAACATTCACCAAGACACCTGTGTGAACTTGAGGAGAACTGACTTCAAACATCCAACAGAAAAAAAAAGCTCATAAAAGTGAAAAGCCCAAACATCATTTGTTTGAAGATCACTGCCCTTGTGAAATAGAACATTATTTTTACCATACTAAAAATAAATTAATAAATAAAATAAAAAAATTGAAATAATATACTTTCAAAGAATATATTTCAGTGTAAACTGAATGCAATGTTTTCTGGTTTTCTGAACTTTAATTACATGTTACTTGCATTCAATTAAAATTTATAATAGTAAATATGTATATTAAATGCAATTAGTTGAACTTAGTTGTGCTATATAATTTCATCTTTATATATAATTTCATAATCACATCTGTTGTCTTTGTAAAAGTGTATCACTGAATGTACTTACAAAATATTCTTTAATGTCATTTCTATTGAAACTTTTATGAATTTAAATATATTTGTAATTACACATTTGTGAAGCTGCAATTTAATACATTTAAAATATATTAACTTTAAATGTAATATTGAATAACACACAACAGTAAAAATTATAACCAAATAGTTTACATGTGTTTTAGTGTTATCAACACTTGAAAATAAATGTACTTCTTTAAAGCACAACATAAGATTATTAAAACATAATGATTAAAATCTACTTTAAAGTAAAATGTTTAATTACAAAGTGAACTGTTTAAAAAAGTACTTGTGTTAAGAAACGCTCTCTTTAAGTACACTTAAGTGGGCTTTTATTTCATTATTATATTATCTGTAAGTATTTTTTATATATATATATAGTTTTAAGATTTAAAGCACAGTTCAAGTGCACAGTCAATACAATTAAGTGAACTAATTTTTTACAAGGTTTGGTTTGTTATTTTCTAATATAAAGACATTCAAGATTTTAAGTGTGACTTAAGTGTCCAAAAACCTTTTAGGCCACTATATACAGAGAGAAGAGGTAGAGACGGACAAAAAGTGTGGAAAAGAGGAGAAGGACAACATTGAAATCAGGACAGGAATTTGTCAGTGTTCGGCAGGTGCAGCACAAATGTTGAGGCAGTGAGTTCAATCAGCTCTGCAAGCTTTTGCAGCTATTGAGGCGCTCATAACTCATTTCATCATTGCGTATCTTGTCATTGCTTGCTGTAGCATGTTGAGCTGCATGGACAGTTTGTTGAATGTGCTCTAAATTAGGCTGCATTATGCAATATGACCACCGCACCGTTACAAATATACAAAGCGTATGTTCACAGTGGAAGCATTTGCAGAAATAAATAATACATCAGAGTTAAGTGTTTCTTGAGCAGGAATGCTAGTCTTGACTTTGTTTTGAATCTGACTGCTTGGTCTCAAAGGAAAGAGATACCTCATCCTATTTTGTGATAGTTTTTTCTAAAATTGCTAGGCTTTAACTTCAGCAAGTTTACACTCATGCATTTTCATATGCAAAACCAGCCTGTAACTAATTTATATATGTAACAAGTAAAGTAGCATGTTACTTGTTACATTTATTTTGTCGTTTAATTAATTCACATTACTTTTTCTATTTATTAATTTACATTTGAATTTTCTCCACATACTCATATTGGGAGGAAATGAGATATAAGGTGCACAAGTATTTTTGTTTGTTGTAATATGTGTGTGTATGTTGGATATTGGTCTGTCATGCTTCATTGACGTAGAGAGCGCAACATTTCTATTCACCTACAAGAAGATTTATGGTTTTAAAACTTCAAAATAATGCTGGTAAATGAAAATAAAAAGTCATTTTGTGGTATAGAGTATATGTCATTGCATGCTAATTATTTTTGGGGGGTACAAACACTTAAAGTAGCACGTCATAAAGTAGCATTTCCAGTGTAAAAATGGCTGCAAGCCAAGCATAGTGCTTCCATTCTGGAGAAGAACGAATCTCAGTTAGATGCTGTTGAGAAAACGTAACAAAAAAAGTAATTTAGCACATATCCATAATTAGTTTTTATAAAGAGTATAGCGCAATATTGTAACATTCCCCAATTCTGGTTGACTTTGTCAAAAGCATGCACAGTATCAGTTCTGTATGGATAAAGCAGTTTACATTTAAACTAGTTCTTGGAGTTCTTGTAGAATCCTGTAAAACATTCTCGAGTCAGAAATATAATTCTTGAATTTTAGGGCATTACACACCAGCAAAGAGCAAAAGCAGGATTATTGGCAACCAAGGGATGCAGAATGAATGAAAAATAAGCTTCATATGCCCGAAACCATATGAAAGCTTACCTTGAATGAGAACAACACAGTAACTATTCCTGAGTGATGACTGGGGGAGAAAAGAAAATACGGATTAAACCCAAAGTTTACATGAGGGAGTTATATGTGCCTCAGGGTACATCGCTGACTTAGTCATTACAGATTTAACATGAAGGAGTTAAAGGACATACCACAGTCTACCGAGAGGGAAACACAGCAATATGGCAATGTATGACAGAGTATGAAAACATGTCAGCACATGATACAATATGCAAACATTGGCGTGAAATCAGAGATTTTATCAGGTCCAGGATTTTTCACAGACCTGTTAAACAATGCCACTCTGTGTTTTGCAATCTGTTGCATTATGGGATGTGTGGTCCAGTGGCAGTGGTGAGATGAAATTGCTTTGGATTTGCTGCATGCTGTTGCAAATTCTCAGTTTATGCTAGTTATGCTGGAGTAACAAAATACTGAAATGGTCATATTTTGTTGAGAGAGGTCTTGCAGAAAGATGTGGCTGGAGACGAAAAAAAAAAAAGATATTTTTATCTGTCTTATCTAAATGTATCTACTGTATTTATCTTAAGTTTTTAATTTGATAACATTTTAATTAAAAAAGAAATATTAAAAGGTAGAGATCAATAGCTCAAAATAGCTTCAAATGTAAATGGCATTAACATGGCATTTATTATTAATGACATTTATTTTATTGGACATGATAACTGATTGGGAGATATTTTTATAGTTTTATTATTATTATTATTTTTATTAAATCAGCCTGATATGATGTTTAACAATGTTAAGTCATCTTTAACCTTTTTATGGTAAGCCTTTATTCTCATTAATGCTCAAAAACTGAATTACTGTGAGTGCATTAATGTGTTAATTAGATTGTAATTAAATACCTTGATTGAGAGCCTTAGTAATAATATATTTTAATATTATAAATGAATTACTTAAGTATTTATACTGTTTAAATGCCATGCTGGCATATTTGTCTATTGCAGAAAAGAAAAGAGTCTTGCCATAATAAAGGCTTTGTTTGTTGTAGAAACAAAATATGACAAAAAGCTGCACAGTACCACTATAAAAAGTGCAGAATATGAACAAATAGAATAATACATAGAATAAATATAAATGAAAGGGATAGATAAAGAGCACTGAATCATTTACCATATGGCTTCCAAGTTATACTTCCCCAGGAAATCCACATAAGACATTGAGAATGCTCATATTACCAGTTTAAAAAACTGATCTTGTGCATATTAATTGGTTGGTTGGCAGTGAATACAGTGTGTAGGTTGGTAAGGAACTCTTGACAGGCTATTCCTCTTCAATAAAAATCTAGTATAATATGCTGTATTGAATCAGTTAATTAGCCATACAGTACATCCTCATAAAGCAGAGGTGCAAGATCCTGTTCCTGGAGATCTACCTTCCTAGAAAATTCATCTCCAACCCAGATCAAATACAATTAAAGCTGCTAATTCCTATCCTCAGAAGCACTTGATAATTACAAAAAGGTGTGTTTGATCAGGGTTGGATCTGAACTCTGCAGATAGGTACCCACAGCTACCCCTGTGCTAGATAATCATTTTAATGCACAGACTAACCTTTGACCTCTAGTTTGCAGTCCACCTGAGCCTCTCCGAGGTCATTGATAGCCTTGCAGGTGTAAACACCTCCGTCAAACGGGCTGGGCTTGCGGATCTCAAGCGTACACACACCCTGGTTGCTGAACATGCGGTAACGTGGGTCGTCTATGATGGTAATCTTGTTTTTCATCCAGATTACCTTAGGCTGTGAGCAGTAACATAGTATGAGAACGCAGTAAACAACAGATAACATTACTGGTGAAGGGGAACCAAAGCAACATCAATCCATCAAACACATGGAGTGAAAACTGCTACTCTTCTCACATGTGCTGGTTGCAGAAAGACAATATGATCCAGTGTGTCTGTGCTCAAAGATTATAACTAGCAGGTGCTGTTAAGCCCATTGGGACACTCACAGGGCAAGCCTCAAAGAGCTAAATACAGGTGTAAAGCCATGGGCACATGGTTGGAGCCCAGCAGAATCAAAGACTTTCTCAGAACTTGAAAGAAAGAGGGCGATATGCATCAGAACCTTGTGTCAGCCAATAGGTTTTCATGGGTTCATTGATATTCATGCATATTTTTTTTCAATATATGTTATTTTTTAGTCCCTTTTATCTGCACTTCAGATCACTTAGCAAGGATTGAGTTTCTTTGACCCTGTTTACACCTGGTATTAACATCTGTTTCAGTGAACAGCACTAAATATAGATTTAAACAACGTCCAAAATGTTTTGTGATCCGATTACTCAAGTTATATTCAAAGGTTGTCAGAAACTCATGTGACCATGTTGCATTTGAATGCCAATGCATACATCCTAATGTGTCTGTGAAAGATTGCCTACTCATATGTAAATCAACGTTGAGCTAAAATGAGGGTTTTAAACTTTTGCAGTTAAAATGCAGCTTAAATTACTGGACGAAATATTCCTTCATTATAATTGTTTTATTTAATTGATTATTTATCTATTATTATTTTATTTTAACATTATTAATATTGTTATTATTTTACTTGATTTGCCTTTTTTCTTCTTTCTGTCTATGTGTGTAGTACGAGATGGTGTTGTTTGCTTTGAAAATCCTTAAAATAAAGCATTTTTAAAATACAGCTTAAATGGAAATAAACAAACAATCAAAAAATTTGACGAAGGGCCATTTATACAAGGACTTATTCAATATTCACTAGCACAGATCATTTGCATTGAATAAAGTTTTTTTTTTTTAAAGAAATGAATGCTTTTATTCAGCAAGGACACATTAAATTGATCAAAAGTGGCAGTAGTAAGTTTCTTATATTTTTTTCAAAAGATTTCTATTTTAAATAAATGCTTTCAATTGAAACAAAATGTACAGTATCATGGTTTCCAGAAAAACATTAATATTATTAATAAGAAATGTTCTTTGAGCACCAAATCACCATATTAGAATGATTTCTGAAGGATGATGTGAGTACTGGATGCTGAAAATTCAGCTTTGTCTTTACAGGAATAAATTACATTTGAAAATATATTCAAATAGAAAAGTTATTTTAAATTGTAATAATCTTTCACAATAGGTAGTGTAGATCGCGCGAAGCATCCATCCATATTCCGCGTTCAATACAAGTGCTCCACTAACATTTTGTGTCATTTTTGGCGAAATTATAATTCAAACAGGCTATATTTAGCCATTTTTGTGCTTTGTCAAATGACATAGTAAGTGATCAGGTGTAAACAGGGCCTTCGTGTCTTGTGATCTAAATTGAAGTGTGCTTGAATAATTGAATAAACATGCAACATGGACTTACCTGTCAGAGCAGGTGTCAGAAAAAATCATGAGGCAAAAGAACACATTTGAGGTAGCTTTCTAGTGGAGTGTCCTGTCAGTCACCTACCCGAGGATTGGCGCGCACGCTGCAGTTCAGGGTGGCATTGTACCCAGCGATGGCGAAGGTGTTGATAAGCGGCTGAGTGAAAATGGGCGGCTCTGTGAAGTCACGGTCATTATACTCTGGGATTTTCAGTTGCAAGCCTGATTGAGAGTGAGAGTGAGAGGAAGAGAGAGAGGAAGAGGAGGAGGAGGAAGAGTGAGAGGGGAAGGGAGAGTGGGACTTTGCATGATACGAGCCGAGAGCTGTATCATGGGGGAATTTCCCTTGTGTGATGAGGAAGAGACAACATTTATCATCAGCATTGGCAAAGCGTGACACCCAGTCTGTTAAAGATATAATCTGCACTTGGTTATTGGTCACTCCAGTAATTTGTGGCAAATAAACAAATCTTTGTGGTTGTAGCATATAGGGAGAGTATTATCAAATTTGTGAAGCTTCTACAAATTGCAGATCATACCTTTAACATTCCAGTAAAGCCTTTAAAGCTCCCTTGAGTCAAAACTCAGACTTTACACCAGGGGTGCGCAATCCTGCTCAAAGCCCAAACCTTGATTAGCCTTGATTAGTTCATATGCTAAACTCTGCAGGAACATGTCACAATTTCAATCAAGTATACGAGACTAGAATTAGTGTTTCCCAGACAGTTTTATTTTAGCGTTATTTATAAACTATTATAGTTTTATTGATATTTTGAATTATGTTTCATTTTTATTTAAACTATTTTCATTTCAATTTTAGTTTAATTTTTAAATAAATTTTCATCTAATATTACATTTTTTTTCTGCTTTGTTTCAATTAAATTGTATTAGTTTTTGCTTTATGTAACAATAACAACACTGGTCCTAAATTATAGTATGTTAAACAGTTCTAATATTTCTGTTGGATTATGATGTTTGCATTTGTGCTAAGAAGCCAATATATTTCCCAACACACTTTGCACAAGTTGTACAAAACAATATGAGAACTTTTTTTAAAAAGTTTTTTTAAGCTGTGAATTTAGCTATTGCTTTCATACAAGTGGTATACAGCAAGAGGGCCTGTGATATCAAGATGTTCCTGTCCTTTTAAATACTCAAACAATGTACTTTCTCATCACCAGCAACATACAAGCTTTTAGTGTGTATTATAGGTACAGTATTCATATTGGTACAAAGCCTTCATCTCAAGGAGCAGGACTGAACAACCCTTTTTTACACCATGTCCAGGGACATGCATTTCAATGGAAATCCAACCAAATATATAAAGACACACCAAGCAGGATGTTGATTAGTAAATTAGTGTTAATTAGGACATCAGCCCTCAGGTACAAAGGTTGTAAATTCCCCTGTGATTTCTCAAAAAAAAAAACATAATGCAGTTCCACATCAGCCAGGCCTAAATTACCTCTAAAAAGCACATTTGTTAGGCTTAAGGCTTAAGAAAACTGCTGTAAGTGATTTCTGTACCAGTAGTGAAAGCACCACTAGAAAAATAAGGATTGTTTTCATTTCCATTCATTATTTTTTTTACATTGTGAACACCACACCAGCTACAGGAATGCAGAAACACTCCCTCCAATAGTCCCGCCCCAAATTCACACCATTGGTCGAGGTTGGAAGAGAGCAAGTTTTCTGATTGGCTAAAATGCACAGATTCTATTTTGCTGTTTACCTTTCATAGCTTAATTCTCAGGACACCCGGACGTTTTATAAGTGGCATTCCATTAAAAACAAAAAACAAACCAAAATCACTTACTGCAGCATTGAAAAGGATTTAGACAAGCAGTTAATTGACAAAGGAGAAGAGCGGAGCAGAGCCTTACCTTCTTTCACGATCAGAGCACTGTCTTTAGTGGCAGTGGCACTTTCACTTAAGCCCACCATGTTCTCTGAGTAGATCCTGAAGAAATACTCGTTACCCACCACCAGATCTGAGATTGTGATGCAGGTACGATGGTAGTGCTCTATACATGTGTACCACTCCTGTGACACACACACACATGCTAATCAGTCTTTGTCCTCTTAAAACTTAAAATATTACAAATATTTTTTCAAAAACTTGTATATACTGTATATAAATTGGTTAAACCATATAGTAAAGTAAAAAATCACTACTACATTACAAAATAATTACATTATTGTAAAAAACAGCAAATTATATATGTTTGAAATCAGTGTCATAGAAACATTGAGTATCATAGGAACATTTTTCAGACCATTGTCTTTTTATCAGCTTTCTGAATGGTGTAGCCTATTATGGGTGCATTGCCGTTGTCCTTGGGTGGGTTCCAGTCCAGTGCTACATTATTCCCCCAGACCTCTTCGATCTTTACAGCCTGTGGTGGGCCTGGAAGATCTGGGACAGACAGCAAAAGAAAATGTTCAATGGTGCTTCGATGGAGAACATGGTGGACTAGCTTTACATCATGTATTTCTCAGAATTATATTTTAAATATCATATAGGCTATTTCTTATTAATACTCTGTATTTTATCATTATTAGCAATATAGTTAGCATTAGCACAATATATTTAGCATTTAGCCGTGTTGGTATTGTTAACTAAAACTGTAACATTGTTGTATAATTGAAATTAATCTGAAACAATATTATATAAATACTAATATTTATATAAATTAGAAATGTCACCTTGATAATGAACTTATGATACGTTTAAATTGAAATACTAAAATTACTTCAAAAACTGAAATAAAAATAAATTTATTTAAAAAAAAATGTATAAAAATGGCTAAAATCAAAATAAAAACGGAAAAAAAGCTAATTCAAAATATAAATAATACAACGTTATTTAAATTATACTGAAATACACTATCAATATTATAGACTTAATAAGACTTTCCTTTCAAAACATTTTACCGTTTTTTTTTTTAAATAGCATTTTACTTAACTAACCGACTATCTGGATGTCCAGCATGGCCGTGTCGATATGATTCTCCACTTGTACGCTCAGTTCGTATTTTCCAGAATGCTTGCGCTCAGCTTTGCGGATGAACATGATGCTGTCACAATCTGAGTTGCGAATGCTGATGGTTTGGTCAATCGGCTGACCCTCCTTCAACCAATTGACTTTTGGCCTTGGTTTACCCTAAAAAGACAAAAAAACATTTTGAGGTTTTCTTTTGTGACCCAGAGAGGAAGAATTCGTTCGAGGGTTTATCACGATCTGTTGACTCACCACAAATGGCATGACGAGGTTGACGACTTCGCCAACCTTTCGAATGTACGTCTGCTTCAAGTGTCGCGGTATGCGAATCTTAGGAGGCTCTGCCAAACAAACAAGAGAGCATTACTATAACCAGAACCGGCTTAAAACATCTTTATAACCATCAATAATTATTATTTATCTAAATGATATTTGCTATTAGTTTAAATACACTGTGAAATGTGGCAGCAGGCTCTCACCGATAACCTCTTTGACCAGTATGGAGTGTTGGGTTGTGCGTGGTGGACTGGCCCCAGCAGCATTTATGGCCTTGATACGCACCAAGATCTTGGCCTCCACTGGCAGACCGGTTATAGTGTACCTCGTTTTTTCAATCAGCTCTTTATTAGCATGTATCCATTCATCAGCTGTCAAATACAGTATTGTATAAGCACAAAAACACATGAACACCCACCAGTGGAGATCAACTTATGCAAAGCATACAGTATATGTTTTTAGTCTTACTTCCTTCAATGCAGTATTCAACTTGGTAGCCATCAAGTCCAGCGGCACCGATGGTGTCTGGGGGTCTCCACTTCATGGTCACTGTGGTATCTGTGACATCATCCACCACCAGCATTGTCGGTTCACTGGTCACAGCTAGTAAACGTATTAAATGAAGGTAGTGATTAGTGTTGCTGAATACTTAGTCAATAGTCATTTTTTGTAAAATGACTAGTGTAAAAAAATGTTTAAATGCATCCTTAGTTATATAATTTCTTATTTTTATTTTTCCCTATTTACTATTGATAAATGTTGTAAGTCTCGATTTTTTTCAGTTAATATTCTTTGCATAATTTGTTCTAAAATAATAACTGTAAAAATAAATGTTTCAAACGCATCCTTAGATACATGATTTATATTATTTCTAATTTTTTTTAATCTATCTTTATTCGCCTCTGTTTATTTCAGATTAATGTATTAATAAGTGTCTCTGAATGTTTTTAGCCAATATTTCTGCAGATGTTTTTTCTGAAATTACTGAAATATGTGTGAAATATATTTTTTTTTCTCAAATTCAGCCTTAGATGCTTAATTTTTTCCGCATTTTTTCTCTTTTTAATTATGTGATAATTATGTAATCCTCATTTGTAAGTCGCTTTGGATAAAAGCATCTGCTAAATGACTAAATAAATTAATTAATTAATAATAATTAGTGTTACTGCATGTATTCAGACAATATGTTTGCATAATCTAAAACTGTAAAAACATTTATTTCAAATGTATCAGTACATTAATATTTTCAGTTTTTTTCTCAATTTTGTTAATTAAAACTTGATTCCCTCATTCAAGAGTGTTTGATAAACTCTCAAGACATTGTTTAAATGCATCCTTAGATGTTAATTCTTGTTTTTTCATCTCTGTTTGTATGGATAAATGTAATAATAAGTGTTTCAGAATTTTTCAGCCAATATTTTTTGCAGAATTTGTTCTGAAATAACTGCAAAATATATTTTTCTCAGGTTTACTCTTAGATGCATACATTCATTTTTTCTATATATTTTTTTCTGTTTATTTCAAATAATATAATAATTCGTTTTACTGACTGTTTACAGACAATATTTACCATAATTTGTTCTTAATCCATAAAAATAAATATTTCATTGCATACATACATGATGATTTCTATTTGTTTTCTCTATTTATTTTGATTATTAAAACTGAGCTTGACTCCCACATTCAAAAGTGTTTAATACACTCTGAAGAATCTATCAAATCTATACGTTACACTATTGCCACTGTGACCCTACATTATTTGAAGTCAAGCTTTAGATCTTTTTGGTTGAAGGAACAATTTATAATTTCTTCTTTTTCTTTATTTGTTCATTATTTACTAATATTACACATCGGGACACCTTCAATCATCTTTTTTGGCTCGAAGGTGGTCTCTTTGCAAAGGTCGAAGTTCAGCCTCATCCATCGAGAGCTCTGTTTCTTCTTTCGCTCAATGAAATATCCTGTGTTATATGTCAACAAAAGCATGAATTAACTGAATTAATGTTACGCTAATAAAAGTCTCTAATTCTCAACTGCATATTTAAGGGGGTAATTTTTTATAATTCATTTTTTTATCCACAGATATCTACTTACAATGCTAAAGTACAGTTTTGAGTTCTGAAAGTTATAGTATGTCTTATTTCAGAAGATTAGGGAAAATTTGATTTATCACAATGTGATTGATGATTCCAAAGTAAAAAACATTTTTTTTATAAATTTAATTACATTTTGTTGTAACTTGAATTATCAAACAACATTGTTGTTTGATAATTCCTTAAAATTTGATAAACAAATTAGTGCTGTAGTAGGTTCTAGCTTCTTCCATCTTCGCTCCCTTTCTAAAATCAAGTCATTTCTCTCAAAAAGCTCTCTAGAGGTTGCTATCCATGCCTTTATTACATCTCGGCTGGATTACTGCAACGCCCTCTATTTCGGAATATCAAAGTCCCAAATCTCTCGGCTACAAGTAGTTCAAAATGCTGCAGCTAGATTCTTGAAGCGGTGTAAAAAGTTTGATCATGCCACTCCCCTCTTGCGATCATTGCATTGGCTGCCAGTTCACTATCGAATTGAGTTTAAAATATTGCTACTTGTCTATAAATCACTTAACAATCAAGCTCCGTCTTATTTGTCTGATTTACTCCACCCCTACTCCTCAAAGAGGGGACTAAGATCAAATTTCTCCTTCAGACCCCTAGAACACGCTTAAAAACCAGAGGATCTAGAGCCTTTGAAGTGGCTGGCCCCACCCTTTGGAACAACTTACCAATTCACATCAGAATGGCTTCTACTTTATCTGAGTTCAAGTCATATCTTAAAACACATCTTTTCTCTCTGGCTTTTAACATGTAGTAATCTGCGCCTTTGAATTGTTTTAATCTGCTTTTGCTGTTGTATGGATTTTGAATTGTTTTTATTTGTTTTCTGATTTTCTCCTTGTTATATATTATTGTATGTTGTGCAGCACTTTGGTCGGCCTTGTTTCGTGCTTAAATGTGCACTAGAAATAAAACTGAACTTGAACTTGAACATTTTGACAGCAAAGACTTTTACTGTGTTACAAAAGATTTCTTTTTTTTTTTTTAATGCTGTTCTTTTAAACTTTTTATTTTCCAAAGAATCCAGAAAAAAATGTCCACAAAAATATTCTGCAGCACATCCATTTTTAACAATAATAATAAGAAAGTTTCTTGAACACCAAATCAGCATATTAGACTGATTTCCGAAGGATCATGTGACACTGAAGACTGGAGTAATGGCTGTTAAAAATTCAAAAATTCAATTTTAAAATGTATTAAAATAGAAAACAGTGATTTTAAATGTAATTATATTTCACAATATTACTGTTTTCACAAAAAAAGGTAAAGTCATTTGAAAAAAACTCAAAACCTAAAATTAGCAGGCTCCTAAATTATCAATATAATGAATTTTTTAATGCACAGGAAGTTGATTTACCAAGGATGGGGGAACCACCATCATAGCGTGGCAGCTCCCATGTCATAGTGCACCAATCTCCACCTACATCAGTAACCATAGGAGCCTCAGGAGGATCTGGGATATCTAGATAAAACAAAATATGGTACGATTTCCAGTGCCATCACCCAAGCAAACATTGTTTTTTCAGGGTAAAGTGTCTTACCTACAACTTTGATTTTAACACTAGCTGTGTCTTCTCCAGCTTCGTTCTGAAGGACGATCTTGTAGTTTCCGGTATCTTCTCTTTCTGCGATATCAATAGTGAGGCAAGTGTGATCTGCAAATGTCTCTGCACGAACCCGATTTCCTGAGTCAAGAATGACCTGAAACAACCCATGAGCCCAGTTTAATGCAGGTGTTATATATTTCTATTTTTTTCTTCAGTCGTTGTTTTTCTACTCTCTACTCACCCGTTCTCCCTTCATCCACACGACTCTGGGTGCTGGTTCTCCACTAATAGGGATCTCCAGCCGGAGTTTGTTTCCAGCCACAATGGTCACCGTGTCATCCGGGACATTCAGTGCCTCTAAATGCACCCTGGGAGGATCTGCAGAGTTGACCCAAATGACATTCTTTGAGAGAGCTTATTAGCATAAATATGATATGCATTAGAGAAATTTTGGATTGTTGCTGTACCTATGATGTGCACTTTGGCAGACAGCGTCTGTGTGTATCCCTCAGGAACAAAGGTATAGTCGCCGGCATCATGAATAGTGGAGCTCTCAATGTCAAGGCTGTGATTCCTGTAAGTTGAAAAGAAAGCACAAATGAAAAAGAAATATATGAAAGCCCATTTCCACCACAGAATAAAAAATAAATAAATAAATAAAAAATAATTGTCTTTTTATCTCTAACTTATATATTACAATTCTGACTTTTTTCCTTACAGTTCTGGGTTGCGAGAAGTAAAATGAGATGTCCGACTGGTGAGATATATACGGTGGCCAGGTAGTGCGCAACACAACGAAATCTCTTTACAACACAACACACAGGACTAATTTCATTGTGTTGTCTAATTCCTCTGTGTTGGGGTTTGTTTCTGTTGTGTTGTGGCTTGTTTGCATTGTGTTGTGGCTTGTTTCCATTGTGTTGCGCTAATTTCATTTTGTTGCGACTTGTTTCCGTTGTGTTGCGCTAATTCCATTGTGTTGCGACTTGTTTCCATTGTGTTGTGCTAATTTCATTTTGTTGCGACTTGTTTCCGTTTTGTTGCGCTAATTCCGTTGTGTTGTGG